ACAAGAGACTTTAAACCTACATGTGGCTTGAGGAAGGGTGACCTTATTTCTCCCTTTATTTTTATTCTCTGTATGGAGAGACTTTCTCATCTGATCCAGGTTGCTATACAAGTGAAGGCTTGGAAACCTATTCAGCTCAACAAAAATGGCCCTGACCTCTCACACCTTTTCTTTGCGGATGACATAGTGCTTTTTGCTTAAACGTCTCTGGATCAAGCCCATGTTATCAATCAAGTTCTCAAGACCTTCTGTGAGTCCTCTGACCAGAATGTTAGTAAGGACAAGACAAGAGTTTGCTTCTCAAATAATGTGTGTGGTGCTAGGGAACAAGAGCTGAGCGACTGTCTTGGGTTCAAATTAACCTCTGATATTGGTAAATATATTGGTGTCCGTTTGAACCATAAAAGAGTTAGCAGGCAGAATTTTGTTCATGTGATTGATAGGGTTAACTCCAGACTGGGTGCCTGGAACCAAGCCTCCTTGTCCCTAGCTGGTAGAGTTACACTAACAAACGTTGTTCTTACTGCTCTTCCATCCTACGCAATGCAATCTAGCCTACTTCCTCTCTCCATTTGTGCAGATATTGAGAAGGCCATGCAAAATTTTATTTGGGGTTCCACTGCAACTAAACGAAAGGTCCACCTCCTAAGCTGGGATGGTATATGCTCCCCCAAGGAAAAAAGAGGACTCGGTATTAAGAAGCTCCATGCTTTTAATAATGCCATGATTATGAAGATTGGCCACGACATTCTGACCAAGAAGGATACTCTATGGGCTAAAGTCTTTAGAGGCAAGTATAAGGTGGGTGATGATTTGCTTCCGTCTATTTCCAGGACAAAAGTTCGTTCTAACCTATGGAAAGGGATTTAGAGCTATTGAAATTTTACTACTGGTGGTTCAAGGATCATGGTTGGCAATGGGAATGCTACTAAGTTTTGGAAAGATTTCTGGATCAAAGTTGTTGGCCCTTTACACTCTTGGGCTTTAAGCGACCTTCCCGTTGAATCTTTGAGCCTTTCTGTTGCCCATCATTTGTCTCCTGATGGACATTGGAATTGAGATCTGTTATCGGATCTTCTTCCCAGCTTTATTTGTGACCGTATAGCAGCTCTTATTCCCCCAACCCCTTTGGACGGTGATGACCGTGTCATTTGGGATCTCTCAAATAATGGTCTTTTTTCTATTAAATCAGCTTACAACCTCCTATGTGACTTTGATTCTAGACAGAATTCACCCTCTTTTGGCTCTCTAAAGAATTGGAGAGGTCCTCATCGCGTCTCGACTTTCCTTTGGCTTCTCCTGCAGGACAAGCTTCTCACCAACGATCAGAGAGTAATTAGGCACATGGCCAGCGAAGCCCACTGCTTGAGGTGCAGTTTCCCTGTCGAGGACTCTCTCCACATCTTCAGGAACTGCCCTTTTGCTAGACTAGTCTGGAATATCCTGCTAAGCCCTCAATCTAGGGGTGCTTTCTTTTCACAGGATCTTTTTCCTTGGCTCACCTTGAACCTGGACAACCACACCAGTCACGCTCTTCATGCAGATTGGAGCTCCCTTTTTGGTTCTGTCTACTGGTTTCTTTGGAAGGAACGAAATAACCTGGTTTTTAATGGCACCAGTTTATCTCCCTCCAATCTGGTTTTCAAGGCTACGGCTTCACTCGATGGTTTTATGCAGGCTAATCACTCTCTGCAGGTTACTGGCTTATTACCGGCACCTCGAAAGGAAGTTCTCATTTCTTGGAGCTTCCCTGATATAGGCTGGGTAAAGCTAAATTCGGATGGAGCTTGTTCTCTTGTGGATGGAAAGATGTCTTGTGGGGGGGTTTTAAGAGGTGAGGATGGGAATTGGATTCTGGGTTTCAATAAATTCCTGGGCAGTGGTACAACCCTAATGGTTGAGCTTTGGGGTATGTTGGTGGGCCTGGAACTTGCTTGGCATAGGAACTTTCGTCTGGTTTGGCTAGAGGTCGACTCCATATCAGCAATAAATCTGGTAAACACTGAAGGCCAACCTAATCACCCTAATTTCACTTTAGCAAATAAAATTCGTCTACTCATCAGCAGGAACTTGACTATTAAAGTATCCCATGTCCGCAGAGAAGGTAATGAAGTTGCTGATTGGTTGGCTTGCCACACTTCCTATTATGATTGGGAAACCAAACTCTTCGATCATCCCCCTACTCTTTGCTGGAGCTTGTTGTATAGGGATCTGATGGGAGTTTCTACTCCTAGATTAATCAGGACCTAGTCTTTCTTTTTGCTTTTCATTTTCTGTTTTTTCTTTTCCTTGTAACATCCAAAAATATATATATATATATATATATATATATATATAACGCAATGTACATTAATGATCTTTTTGCTAATTTTGTTTTCATAGTTGAATTTTAGATGATGGCTTTTTCTTTTCTTTACTTGTACATGCATACATACACTTAAAAGTTATAAGAGTAATATATAATAAAGATAAAATGTTGGAAAAATAATATTCAAAAGAACGAAATGAAAAACTACTCAAGTCATTATTGTTGTCCTCTCTTCACTGCAGGTATATTTTATATGAGTAGTAACATTGCTAGCCAGTATCTCAATCCTGCTTTTATCCATGCAATAGCTATTCCAAGAGTTGACATGCTAGATAAATTAGACAATCTATATCTTTTATTAATGTCTGTAATTTTTATAAGTATTTTTTCTAGAGTACCAAAGTAAACCTATTTATCTTTTGTACAATTCCATGTGTTTTTTTCCTCTAAAGATATGTAGTGCAACTTTTGTCGGTTCTTGTGAGTTGATAGGAGGATCCGAAAATTGTACATGATGGTAGTTATGGTGGATATAGTAAATTTTCCTCAAGTGAGAATTGATTAGGACATAAGCAAATAATAAAGTAAATAGTAGGGTTGAATTAAAATGTTTATCTTTCATTCTTACATCAACATTGTTTATATGGAGAGAAATACGTCGAATGGCTATTGTTCATGTCATATGTCTTGTACTTTATTAGTACATGATTAGAATTCATTCTCAAAGTGTCTACTATGAGAATTAATGGTTTAGTTTTCACCAACTTCATGTTGGAGATCTCCCTCTTGATCTGGCTCCATCATCCCAACCTTGATCACTTTCTCCTTCCCAATAACCTTCATTGCCACGTTTTTCCCGAAGTTTCGCGAATGATATTCTCCAACATATTCTCAGTGCACGAAGATCTATGGATTCAGAGAGCACCATATAGAGCAACGCTCTTTTATTCCACCAAAGCAGCCAGCCAAGGAAGCAATTTTGTGGAAGTGCCTCCACTGTAAGGCGGGTCCGGGGAAGTCCGTGGCGGGGGACCACCACCAATGAGCTAAGCTACTCCAAGTACACCAAGTGGGTCTGACACCACCTCTCAACCCAAAACCTTAAGGCATTGGGTTCATGGGTCCTTCCACTTATATACTCTTCACTTAGCCCATTACCAACCAATGTGGGACTCATCACACTTGAATATCTCAACAATCTCCCCCTCAAGTGTGAAACCTAACATTGATATGCTTCCCCTCAACTGAGTACCCCAAGCGCAAAGTACTCAACTCGCCTCCTAGCCAATTGCCAAGCTAGCTCGAGCCTAACCCGGCTCTAAAACCACTGTCAGGCGGGTCCAGGGAAGCCCGTGGCGGGGGACCACCACCAATGAGCTAAGCTACTCCAAGTACACCAAGTAGGTCCGACACCACCTTTCAACCCAAAACCTTAAGGCATTGGGTTCATGGATCCTTCCACTTATATCCACCATTACCTACTCTTGATCTAGTTGGGCAGCAAGATGTGCCATACCAACCACTGTTCGTTGACCTTGAAGTTGGAGCATACGAAGAGGTGGATTTGGAGTTAAGGCTTTAGGTTCTATGAGGCTTTGTGATTTTGATTATGTATCAGAATTAATGGTTTCGTTTTTACGTGTGTGTGTGTGTGTTTTTTTTTTTAAGTAAATTCATGTGATGTTAATCTTATGAAGTTAATAGAGTGGTTTGTTGGGGTTGTTTTTTGTTTTTAAAATCAAACAAGTTGTTTTGTTGTTGAAGTCTTAGTTTTGTATATTATTTGCATTTTATATGCATTTTCAACGATGTAGTTTATGTGAAGGAGTGCAGAAAAGCTTTTGTTAACTGGTATCTCAGAGTGTTAGTCTGTTTTAATGTTATATCAATATCATGTTATATGTTTCAGTTTTAGTCCTTTTATTTTGCTGTTACTTGACTTACTTCAAAGTGCTTATATCTCAGTGCTCATTTGAATTATAAATCAAGGTTTGAGTGCCTTAAAAATGAAACTAGAGTTGAAAATTATATGGAGTAAAGATTTCTAGTATTTTTGGGGAAAATTATGAACTTTTATGACTGAAAATCGTTGGTTTTTATACCAGGTCGGAGCGACACGGGTGAAGGTTGAAGATGACAGTGTAGCTAAACTTGTTTGTGAAAAGCATTTTTGTTGGCAACTAAAGAAATCAAAAAGTTGCATGAGATCAGAATTGAATCCTAATATTTTGCCAATTGAACTAATAATAACTTCATGATATAATTTTTATATGAGTTATTATTAATTTTACATGAATTAATTCATGTCACTCTATACATACAATATTAAGGTTATTAATGGGAATATTTTATTATTTAATATTATTGCTTATGGTTAATTACAATAATATAATAAAGAATATTTAGTGATTTATATAATTTAATTAATTTTTTTGGTAATCTATATAATTTAATTAATTAAAGCTTAGGCATAATAACTTTAATTATTTAAATTATATATTAAAAGCCTCTAGATCACGTAAGGTAGATGATATTAATTGTAATGAGTCATATATAATATAATAGATATCGTCCCACATGAATTTCTATTATTTTGTATGATTAATTAAGATAAAGTATTAAATTATATTTTTTTGATTTGCCCATAGGGACCAGGAAATATAATTTGATAAGTTTTATCATGATGTTTTATATGAATTTAACGGAAGAGTGCAGTACAATTATTCAGAAAAAGTTTCCTCTGAAGCTTAAAGATATAGGAAGCTCTATCATTCCTATAGAGATTGGAAATATTGGTGTCAGGAAAGCATTGTGTGATTTGGGAGCTAGTATTAATTTAATGCCACTTTCCATTTGCAAGGCTTTGCGAATTCACGAATTAAAGCCAACCATAGTCTCTTTACAGTTAGCTGACAGATCTATCAGAAGGCCAGATGGGGTAATTGAAGACGTTTTGGTCAAGATAGATAAATTTATCTTCCCTGTGAACTATGTTATATTAGATATGGAAGAAGATGCTGAAATTCCCTTGCTCCTGGGAAGACCATTCTTAGCCACTGCAAAAGCTATGGTAGATGTCGAGCAAGGTAAACTGATGTTTCGAGTAAACGAAGAAACAATTACTATTGATGATCTTGAGCCTATGAAACATCCAGTTGATGGAGGAGATTGCTTCAAGATTGATGTTATTCAAGATGTTGTACTAGAAATAGTTGAGCAAGCACTCTACCCATTGATGGAATTGGAGTCAATAGAAGAAAAGCTATTACAAGATGTCACCGAAGTAATAGGCGAAGAACAACCATTGAAGGAACTTCCATTGGACGATGTTACTAAATGAGCACCTAAAGTTGAATTGAAGGAACTGCCCCCTACCTTGAAGTATGCATTTCTTGGTGTGAGAAATACTTATCCAGTCATCACCAATGTAAATTTGACAACCATTGAAGAAGAAAAATTGTTGAAAGTTTTGAAAGAGCACTAAATTGCCATTGGATGGTCTATTTTAGATTTGAAAGGAATAAACCCATCTTTTTGCACATATAAAATATTAATGGAGAATTATGTGAAATCAGTCAGGCAACCACAGAGAAGACTTAACTCAACCATGAAAGAGGTTGTAAGGAAAGAAGTCATGAAACTCTTAGATACTGGCATGATCTATCCAATTTCTGATAGTGCATGGGTGAGTCCAGTGCAAACAGTTCCAAAGAAAGGTGGGACTACATTTGTGCTTAATGAAAAATAATGAATTGATTCCCACAAGAACTCACCGGCTGGAGGATGTGCGTCGACTACAGGAGACTCAACACCGCTACGAGAAAAGATCACTTTCCTCTACCATTCTTAGATCAGATGTTAGAGAGACTAGCGGGGCAAGCATATTATTGTTTCCTAGACGGCAATTCCGGATATAATCAGATAGCAGTTGCTCCAGGAGATCAAGAAAAGATGGCCTTCACCTGCCCTTATGGTGTATTTGCATACAAACGGATGTCATGCGGGTTGTGCAATGCATCCACAATTTTTAAGAGGTGTATATTGTTTATTTTTCTGATATGATTGAGAAATTCATTGAAAGTTTTATGGATGATTTTTCGGTTTTTGGTTCGTCTTTTGATATCTGCTTAACTAATCTAGCTTATGTTTTACAGAGATGCGAGAAAAGTAAGCTAGTACACTTAACTGGGAAAAATGCCACTTTATAGTAATAGATGGCATAGTTTTAGGACATAAATTTTTTGAAAAAAGAATTTAGGTAGATAGAGCAAAGATAGCATTTAAAAAGAAACTTCCTCATGGGAACGATCTCGTACTCCGGTACACTTTTATTACTTAACGACTGGTGCACTTGCCGAGTCGCAACACTTGAGATCAGAGATAAGAAAGGAGTGGAGAACCTCGTAGCGGATCATCTGACTAGAATTCAAGAGAAGGAACTTCAAGATGGTCTGGAGTTGGTAATTAGAGACGATTTCCCGGATGAGCAAGTCATGTCAGCCAAGATGTTACCATGGTTTCAGAAGGAGCAAGCTCTTGTAATTGGCACTCAACCATGGTTTGCGAATTTTGCAAATTTTAAGGGAGCTGGAACAATTTCTAAAGAATTTTCGTGGCAGCAACGAAAAAAGTTTTTACATGAAGTGAAGAGGTACTTGTGGGATGAACCCTTTCTCTTTTACAAATGCTCAGATGGAGTTATTAGAAGGAGCATTCTCGAGCAAGAGATATAGGATGTCTTATGGCATTGTCATGGTTTGGATTATGGAGGACATTTTGTTGGAGAAAGAACAACTACAAAAGTGCTAATGAGTGAATTTTATTGGCCTACATTGTACAAAGATGCAAGACAATTCGTGGAGTCGTGTGATTGTTGTCAAAGGACGGGGAACATTTCCAAGAGACACGAGATGCCTCTAAACAATATTCTTGAAGTATAGATCTTTGATGTCTGGGGAATTGATTTCATAGGCCCATTCCCCACCTCATATGGAAACAAATATATCTTGGTGGCAGTGGATTACGTATCTAAGTGGGTAGAGGCATCTGCTTTGCCAACCAACGATGCTCGATTTATAATATCCTTCATTAAGAAGAACATTTTTGTGAGGTATGAAGTACCGAGAGCAATGCTCAGCAACAAAGGTACGCATTTCTGTAATAAACAAGTTGAGTATGTGCTTGCTAAGTATGGAGTTAGACACCGTATTGCCACACCGTATCATCCTCAAATTAGTGGGCAAGTGGAAATATCAAAACGAGAATTGAAGCGCATTCTTGAGAAAACAGTGGGAAATGCTCAGAAAGACTGGGCTAGCAAGCTTAATGGTGCCCTGTGGGGTACCGTACAACCTTCAAGACACCAATTGGCATGTCACCATTTCAGATGCTATTTGGGAAAGCTTGTCATTTACCACTGGAGATGGAACACAAGGTTTTATGGGCTGTAAAATATTTGAATTTTGATATGAAAGCAACCAGTGAGAAGAGGCTCCTATAGTTAGATGAACTAGACAAATTCAGATTATCCTCATATGAAGGCGCAAGTCTCTACAATGAGAAAATCAAGAAGTGGCATGACAGAAAAATATTGGCCAGAGACTTCAAGGTAGGGTAACAAGTTCTGTTATATAATTCCTGGTTGAAACTTTTTCCAGAAAAGCTCAAATCTAAATGGTCAGGACTACTTGTGGTGAACGAGATGCGTCCTTATGGAACAATAGAAATTAGCCCAATTGATTCTGACATAAGCTTTAAAGTTAACAAACAACGATTGAAACCATACCTTGGAGGAGAAATTGATAGAGGAACAGCTATCGTTGCCCTTGTTAAAACTCAGAAGAGGTACGTCAGGCTCGTGACGTAAAACAATTGCTTATGGGAGGCAAACCAACAATTTATAGTTCTTCATTATGTTACTTTCAGTTATTTTTATTTTTAGTCAAATAAAATATAAAATATAAGCACTGAGATTGATAATCAATTTAAAGCGCACATGTACGTCTAGTTCAATATCTAAAGTTTTTGCGCATAATACATACTTTAAGAAATTTTGGGTTTAGCATTCAATTATGATAATAGGTGTGAGGAATAAATTTTTAAATAAAGCATGCAGAGAAAATAAGAATTTTTTTTACAAGTATAGGGCGCTTAAGCCCCCAATTGATTGAAAAAGGGAATTTATCTCTGCCAATGCACGCTTAAGCCCCCAAATGGGAGCTTAAGCACGCTATAAAACGTAAATATTCCATTCGAAGAGCGCACTTAAGCACCCAAATGGGAGCTTAAGCGCGCAAAAGAAAAAAATTTTGAACATTCCTCTTTGCTTGAGCGCGCTTAAGCGCCCAGAAGAGCGCTTAAGCGCGCTCCAATGTGAAGAGCATCAATTCGATTACACAATCTTCATCAAGTTGTGCGTATTCTAATATATTTTTTTTGATTACACAATCACTAAAGTCCAGGATTCTGTGTTGCAATTACTGAATTCACTCTTTTTTTATGCTAAGCTAAGCTATTGGGAATAAAAAGGGCTAACCACTGATGGTTATACCCATATCACAACTGTTGATTGTTGTGAGTATTATAACATGAGAAGTGATATCTGTAATATTCATATCTGTTACACTACATCTGTATTCCATAGTTTGTGGATATATCCATACCTATTTATTACTTCAGAATATATCTAAAAATAAATCTGGAAATTGTTTTGTGTAAATTACACTAACTTGGAAGTTCTCTACATTTCAGGAAATGGCACCAAAGGACAAAAGTGTCAGGAAAAGAACTAGAGGAGCCACAGTTGCAAGGGAAACATCTAGCTTCTCAAATTTTGATTCCCACAAGTTTAGGACAGCTGCATATGAAGAGAGATTCAGGAAGATGATAGCCACAAAACCTATAATGTGAGAGAGAAAATTCTTGCTGGAGGAAGAAAAATACCCAAAATTTTACAATAACTTAATCAAGCAGAGATGGAAGAATTTGGTCTACTATTCACTGATAGCTCAGATGCCATTTGCAGTGAATTCTATGTAAATGCATACACCTTAGAGCAGGGAGCACATCGAGAGTACATAAGCCAAGTTAGAGGCAAAGTAATTGCCTATGACTCCGCATCTATACAAGGACTTCTCAAGACTACCTTCTATGCGCCCACACAGAGATGTGAGTATCAGCAGACCCTATAGGATATAGAGCATGGACCAGCTACAAGGGAAGAGGAGCATGAGACTTGGGATCCAATTGAGGAGGTTGCTCTGATTCTTGATACTATTTCCATGCCAGGATAGACATGGAAACGCACAGCTGACCAGACCCATCCCAAGCTTTTGGTCCTTAGCCAACTTAATGGAATACCTAAGGTATGGTACCATTTTATAGTCAGCAACATTATACCCACTTCCCACCAGGCTGAGGTAATTTTGAAGATGACAATCCTCATTCCCTCTATTATGACTAGAGACACAGTAGAACTGCCTGAGATTTTAGCTGACAGTATATATGACATAGCTCACAACAAATCTCAAAAGGCAGCCTTAGGTCATAGCTCTTTCATTCAGTACTTATGTGCATATTCAGGTGTGGAGATACCTACAGAGATTAGGCCTGTACGGTCTCACCCCACCATTGATGTTGCCTTCATTAAATATTACTTAGGTGAGCAGCCACCTATTGATGCACCAATAGAGCCAGCACGACAGACGAGACAGCGAGATATTTCGACTCTATGGGATACGGTTCAGGCTATTGAGAGCCGCCAAATAAACATGCAGCGTCAACAGGGCTTTATATAGCGCAGAGTGGGTTATGCCCAGCACAGCCAGCAAGCTTTTCAGGAGTATGTGTGCGCCAAGCTGGCGGACCCGTTCTAGCAGCGTGACATCGTAGCACCATCTTTAGACCACACATCGTATTCTGGTTCTGAGGAGGAGGATGCATTTATTGCCTCTACACAGACTGCTACTGTTGCGACTGCAGACACTACACAGAGAGCTGATGTTACTCAGGATGATCATGGATGCTACAGAAGAGAACACTGCACCTACCACTGACATGGACGAGGATTGACTATCATCTCAGTGCTTGGATTTTTGTTCCTTACATTTATTTTCTTTTGATTTTGTTTTCATGATGATACATGATCTATATTGAGACTGATTCTGATATTTTTTTGGATATTCTAACATTCTAACCAGTAGTTTTATGATTTGTGATCTGTTTCAGAGCACGATTATATTCTGATTTAAATTATTTGCTGAGGACAACAATATTTAACTCTGGGAATAAGTACCACACGATCTATCAGACTACAAAATTCACATGGTTAGAAGGAATTCATGATTAGACAAAGAATATCCAACAATACATGGAGCTTTCTTAATTATCTTTTTATTTTATTTTATTTTAATTTATTTTTTAAGAATCTTCTCAATAAATTTTAGTTTGAATCTCCATCTCCATTATCAATAAATTTTGGTGAAATTTTAAGTTTTTCATTGTGCTTAATAAGTATGCATAGATGAATTATATACATGAGATTGATTTTTATTAAATCAAGAGTATAATGATGCAAATTCTGTTTTCACAAATAAATAAGCATCAATTAAGTAAGTTTAATAATTTACTGGAATAATAAGAGTGATTTAGATAAAGAGTAGAAGATAAATCTTACATCCATAGCCGTGAGCTTTTGAGCCTAAATAGAGAATCAATTTTTTGGTGTGCACTTCACTGTATGAATTACTCTAGAGCTTGTTTTATTTTTTACTTGAAATGGTTTGTGGTATACTTGTTGAAATGATATAGGCATTTCTTTTCTAAAGCTAGATAGCCAAATAGACACCCTGTTTGTGAATCATATTTAGCCCTTTGAGTCTAGGCCTGTTTATTCATTGATATCCTATTGCGAAAAACCACTCCACATACATCCTCACCTGAACTAGATTGAATTTAAAATTTAAATGAGAAGCTGAGCATAATTAAAAGGAAAATTGGTATAATCCAATTCTAGTATATGAAAGAAAAGGTGAAAAAAGGCAAAAGCCAAAAGGTGGTGGAATAATGAAATGAAAAGAAAATGGTTGAAATGTGTATCTGTATAGAAAAAGAAAAGAAGGAAAATATTCATGTTACATAAATAAATGAAAGAAGAAAAGAGGAGAAATTGAATACGAAAATATGTTCACTATGTGTTGAACAATTATACCAGTTCCTCTTTGAATTTGAATTTTGATCTGTAAGCCACTTACCTAGATAATTCTTTCTTTTTTACCTAAGCCACATTACAACCTTGATGAAGACCTTTTGATCAACTTTGTATAGTAATCAAGACAGTGGAGAGTGAGAATATAACCAAGCTTATGGTAGTGTTAATTCAGTAACATATTAGTAAAACACATACCCTCATACACTTGAGTGTGAGTGAATAAAAGAAAATCTTAGTGAAGGGGTGTTGTGGGTTTGAATTCTACTACTCTTTATCTTGAGAACTCACGTTATGATTTTATAACTGGTGAATAATAAATGCTTGCTTGAGTTTGATGTATCATTATTATTTTTCTTATATGAAGTCTGAATACTCTAGTATCTTGATTCTAATCGGTGTCCTGTTGATAGTTCATTGAGCATAATCACCGTCTCCTTTCCCATAGTTTATTCTAGTTAATTGCTGGGGACAACAATCTTCAAATCTGGGAATTGTTTGATAAACTTTTAGTTTATCTTGTTTTATAGACTAAATTTACATGAAATACCTAGTCAAATGCATGAGAATTAGGGTTTATTAGTATAAAAACACGAACTATTGAAATATGAATTAAATAATAAATTTTTGCTTATTTTGAAGGTGAATAAAATTAAATGAGAGAAAATATGAAGTTTAAAGACTTGGAGATCAAGAACTTGAAGATCATGGAAGACCCAAGTGTAAATAGAAAAGGTTGCTCATTTTGAAGAGGAGGCTTAAGCTCCCATTTCGGAGCGTAAGCACCCAAGTTTCTAAAAGTCTCTACCAGAGTGCGCTTAAGCGCCCAAATGTGAGCTTAAGCGCATTGCCAAGCAAAATTTTTCCTTCGAAGAGAGAGCTTAAGTGCCCATCACAGCACTTAAGCGCCCTCACACTAATTTGCACAGCTGACCCAAAGAGCTTAAGCACCCATCACGGTCCAACTTAGGCCCAATTGAACGTTTCCACTTAGACCACAGATTCTTTAACTATAAAAGGACAAAATAAGACAGAAATCATTAAGATCTGATCAAGGAAGTAGAGAAGAAGCATAGGAAACACATAGTTCATGTTCTTGAGAGTCGGAGACAGATTAGAATCAAGTTTGCATTGGAAACCTTGAAGATTCACCACACTGTCATGGAGTTTGGGGGAGATTTCTTGTTTTCTTTCATTCTTGATTCTACTATGTTAAGCTAAGTTTTTATAGTAGTTAGGGTTAGATGGGACTCAGTTAATCTTTTATGTTTTGAATAAATTCTTGATGTTATTCTTCCTTTTTATTTTGAATGAAGTTATCCTTTCTTAATGATTTCTATGAGCTTGAATCTTGTAGATTGATCTTAGGTAAATGCATGGCAATAGGAATGTTGGTGTATGATCCGTACATGATAATTTCATCGTATTCTTTATGATTCTAGGGATAGATATAAGGTTTTACGCAATGTTGTGATTCTTGAATGTAATGCTTATTTTCTTGAGGAATAACCGGGGAACTGGGGTTCTTGCAAGATTATAAAGATTTAGGATGTCAAGGAATTGAATCCCAATTAAATTAAATAGAATCGATTGGCTTTATATTAAGGGCGACTAATCTGAAAGAGTGAGTTCAAAACATAATAGGGAGATTGGGGGAAGTTGAAACCCTAGCTACGTTTCTTTTTTGTCAAATAATCCAAAGTTTTTTTTTATTCTTGTTCTTGTTTTAATTAGTTTTAATATTCTGAATTCAAATCAAATCTTGTTACAAATTCATAATTGATTGTCAAACTTAAGAGGACATAGTGAATTAGTGATTGAAACTATGATCCTCGTGGAAACGATTCTGTACTCGTACACTTTATTACTTGAACGATCGGTGCACTTGCCGAAGTCACAACATGCAGCCATACTTTCAGAATATAGACAATGTAGTTCTTTCTGAGCTGATTTTATTAAAACCACAAAATCAGGATAAGGTCTCTCTCTCTATATATATATATATATATATATATATATATATATATATATATATATGAGGAAGGTTATACTTACAACATTTTTTTTACAACCTCTTACAACCATATCTTAACACCGTTGATTTCCGTCAATCAACGGTTATCATTTATTGTGAATTAATAATTAATTAATGAGTTTAATTTGCGAAAATCATAACCGTTGATTCACGGAAATCAACGGAATTAATTATTAATTCACAATAAATGATAACCGTTGATTCACGGAAATCAACGGTGTTAAGCTATGGTTGTAAGAGGTTGTAGAAAAAAAGGTTGTAAGTATAACCTTTCTATATATATATATATATATTTGCCTCTAATTAATTAATTCAATTCTATTTGATGTTTATTGGGTTGCATCATATGTCAATTTTTAAGTGTTTCTGTTCGACATCCCATTTTATATCAATTTAATTACTTAAGAGGTATTTTATTTTTCCATTTTGAAATACTATTGCGTGTTTAGAAAAGAAGTAAAAAGTAATGTAAGCTTTTTGTTGGATAACTTCAAATGTTTGACATTTTCTGGAGGCCTGGGTGTTCTAAAATTCAAAACTAAGGATTTTTCTTTGTGTAGAATATATCAAGCAGATACCAAAACTTCATAGCAGGCTAAAATTTTTAAAGTTCATTAATTGCACATCTTTCTTCAAAAAAAGAGAT